ATCCGATTCTAATGATTTTAGTGTCTAATAATATGTTTTCTGACATAACAAATTCAACTAAGCAACTTTTAAAACCAAAAGTGGTTGCCATAACCTTGAAATTTCCCTCAAACCCATGGATAAGAAGTTATATATGTTTGTCACCGAAACGGCAGCCATTTTGAATGTACATGGTCAAGGTAAGCACTTTTACTGTTGAAAGTTGTATAGTTGAATTTTGCCGTGTCACAAAACATATTATAAGACACTAAAATCATTAGAATCGGACAATGTTAACTGTGTTGGTGAATTTGACCACCAGTCTAAAGTACATTGACCTTTTTGACCATAGTGCCCTCATTTAAGGTCAGAGGTGTAACAAACCATACATTTTTGTAATCCTTATGACCAGACGAGTAATTTAATTTGAAATTTGATAAGGTTAACCGTGTTGGTGAATTTGACTACCAGTCAAAAGTGTGTTGACCTTTCAACGTTTTTGACCATAGCGCCCTCATTTAAGGTCGGAGGTATAGCAAACTATACATTTTTTGAATCCTCATGACCAGACGAGTAATTTGATATGCATATCGACACGATTGGAATATATTTTAATTTCTACCCTGTATGACCTTTGTTGACCCCTCACGAAAATGCCTGGGATTTTCAAGGGGGCAGCCCAAGTCAAAATTGTTGGGTATTCATCAGGGAACACAAAAACATTTTCAAACCTTTGTTCCCCGAGATTGGTCACGGGACCTACAGGCTGGTCTCCTACTATTGTGGCAATATTATTATAAAAACTTATTGTAATCTCAATATACAAAAAAAAAAACAATTCTGCCATATTTGTTTCATAAGCAGTTACACAGCAACTTCACTGAAAACTTCCCACACAGAACTGTGCTGTATCCCTGCTGGAAGCAGGTACTGACTTTCAAGCACTCTAGCTCTGCTAATGTGAAAAGAACCAGCTAGTCGTAAGCATAACCATTAAAACCTAACAAACAAGGAATTTAATGAAAACCAAGTCCTTAACCATAGCAATATCCTCGATTAAAAATAATAATCCATAACTATGTATAAATGTAACCCACTACAATTATAGACAATGTGATAACCGTGATACACAGCTGTCAAAGTTACCAGCTAATCCCAACCATATCTATTGGGAGACTTCCTTTGACGATGCTGATGCTCGTGACTGTTTTCTCTCGAGGGTTCTTCATCCAGAGCATCATCAGGTTGTCACACTTGATGTCTCTTGCTGAGCTTGGAATGCTCCTCAGTACTAATTTGTGTTGCTTCGGTAATGAAAGAACAATTATCATCATTTACATGGAGCCAGGGCTCCTTCTGTCCCTTGTACTTGCAAAGACGTTCTCTGTGAACCACTCTTGGTTTACTCCTTTTCGTCAACTGGATCCTGTAGACTACATCGTTTATCTTCTTTAGAACAGAGTAAGGGTCTCACAAGTCTGACATCAATTTAGGTGATACACCTTTCTTCCTTCGAGGATGCCAATATCCGGAATACAGGTCAAGGGCGCAAAACCACTGGGAGCCCGTCAATGCATCTAAGATGTCGTCAATACGAGGAAGTGGGTAAGAATCTTTCTTTGTCACCCGATTCAAACATCGATATTCCACGCAAAAACGCATACTGCCATCTTTCTTAACGAGTACAATCATTGAACCCCATTCTCCTGATGCTGGCTCTATCACTCCTTGAGACTTCATCTCATCAATACCTCTGACAGCCTCCTCCCTCTTAGCTAGGGGTAAACTAGGTTCAGCATCACCCGTCTCTATCTTGTGTGCGACTATGCTTGTCTGTCCCAAGTCCATGGATCCCTTGGAGAACAGGTCTTGTCGTCTCAGTAACAACTCCCGCTTTTCTTCTGGTTGTCCCTCAGACAATCCTACGCTGCTTCTTTCAGGCAGCGACCTTAAACGCGGAGCGAACTCGCCTGTGACTTCTCCTGCTTCTCCAACATTTTCCTCTTGAGATTCAACATCAATGACAACATCAACTCGCTCACATTTACCTACACAATTACCTTCTTGTGAAGATTGGGTATGCTGATTCAAAAGTGTCCTGCCAACCATCACCCCTCTGAGGAAGAGTCCTTCTGCTTCTCCACCCAGGGATGTAATGACAGGAGCCTTGCCATTTCTAGCCGTGTTCCGCTCCTCGAACACGACTAGTTGCCGTTTCCCTCTGCCATCATTGAGGCCTCTACTTGCTTTCTCTGAACACTTGGTGATGTCACTGGGCTCTGGTCTCCAACTCTGGCTTCCAGCACCTGCAGACGCCTTTCAATACCCTGCTGTGCTGTGGAAGATCTGTCAAGGTGCGCTATAATTTCAGCCTGGTTACTGACGGCACTTTCCGCAAACTTCTCAAACGCTTGTAGGAGGGCGCCAACTCCTAGAGGACTCGAAAGGCGACCCCTCCCTCTTGTACGCGTACGTGACGAGATCCGTGAACGATGCATGGTTGAGAGTCGATAGTCACTTCAACAACTGTGTATCACCCTAAACCCCTGTTACTTTCATGAGCCTACTCTTGCTTTATTTAGAAGTTTTATAAATGGAAACTATAAGGCTACTGTATTTAAAATCCCTATACAAATTTCACGTCAGGTTCAGTATAGTTTAAACTTTTCCACAATAAAATCCAATGAAGAAAATATAATCCTAAAGGGGATTAAAATTATTTAATTAGTTAAATGGCAAATAAAACAATCCCATCAAAATAAGTTACCTAAAGTGACTAATTTTACTACTAAGTTATATCTTAACTTCCCCAAACAAAAGTAGCTTATCGGGTCTGCAAAGCAAGACTAGCTGTATCTAGCCTGCGGGACTACCAATTTTCCCTTTGCTCAGCACATGCACTTGCACCGATCCTAAAACATTACTACACACACACACCACTACAACGCGTTGCTCCCCGAATACACACAGAGCTTTTGCAGTGCAGTGGTGTACGATGCCAATGACAATGAACGTAGGCTACTGCCATTGACCCATCTTAACTTTATACTACAATCAAAATATGACTTATTCCCTAACTAGACCTAACAATCTTCTAAAATTCCACCTTTCAAATCCCACTTCTGACACCAGTGTAATAACTTTTGGGAATTCTTTTATAAGAAAATGGGGAATTTAAAGACTGCAGGGGTAGATGTTTAGTCTAGCCTAAATTAATGCTCACGCAAGGCCAGGGCCAAGTCATACACACATACATTACAATTACAGTCTCTGAGAGAAAGGAGTTATCGAACAATGATTTTTAAGTAACTGATGTTTATTCACAAGAAACATGGTGGTGATATCCAATATTTACTTGCCACAACCTAATAACAGTTACACTTAACTCACATTTATACTAGTTATTGCCCTTTGGCTAATTGATGATGCTCCCGAGCAACATCCTCCCAGCTCCTAACTCTAAGTTCTCACAAAATCTGTCTGTCTCCAAAACTACCTCGGCCTCAGCTCCAAACTTTTACACACTCCCAAAAACCTCGCCCAAATTAAAGCTAGTCTCCAATTCAGACCTCCCTTTTTAATCGTTCGAGCATCCAATTTCTGTAACAATATTTAGATCAAAGCAAATACATGTACATCAAAGTAGATCTACACATATATACACACAATTATTATGTATGTGTCTTTTTGTTTAGAATGGTGTTAGATTTGCAGATCGAAAAGGAAAAATGATAGAATAATAATTGGGTTACACAAAGGCATGTTTGAAGAATGTGAAAGGAGAGCTGACTAAATAAAATAGAGATAGAAGATCAAGAGATTTAAGGGGAAATGCTACATTACACGTGATTGAGACGGGATGGGGAATAAAAGTGCAAAACTAGAGAATTCCGTGATTAAAAAAGAGAAAGGATGATGAATAATTATCTCTAGATCATGTCAAACGTCCTGAACATATAAGAATCTGTTTCTTGACACGCATCTCTTCCTTCTCTCTTCTATATATTTGCTCAACAGGATCTCTTCACTCTCCGTTACTCTGCTCAACAAGTATATCTTCCCTTTGCTCTACGTTGCTCAATATAAGTACATCTCTTCCCCCTCTCTTATAAACGTTGTACAACATGTCACAATTCTGAATCAATTCAAAGTTTCTCTCCAAAACACCATTCATTTGTATAGCTTCATCTAATCTTAGAAGTGCTATTGAGTAATTGAGACATTTTCTCTCCTATTTTCCCTCTTTCTCCTGTTTATCTTCCACAATTTACAAAAATGTCCTAGACAACAGAAATAAAAAGATACAAGAACATACTTTTAAAGATTGTATATTATCTGATTTCCTTTTGTTATTTTCTCACACAAATATGGAAAGCAATGAATCATGTGAAAAAATTTAAAAATAAGTATGCTTCATACAAGATTCTTGGTATTACCATTAGCAAGATGTAGTTATTCGACCAATTCATGTATAGTTTACGATCAATTAATTAATGTCAATTGAGAAACTAAATAAGACAATCAAGACCATCAATGAGCATGGATCTTGTTTTTTTCAAGGAAAAAAAATGTCTTCTTTTTAGAATTTAAACAATTTCTAGCTCACAACGATTATTAAAACTCTTAAAATCCAATCAAGAAAGAGTACTGTTCAGCTGGCAAGAAATCAATGCACGTAATTCAGTTACTTTGTATTACAATGAAACGAGGCTTCTTTAAACAATGAAGATAATTTCTGCAGTTTAACAACATTGATTAAAGACCCTTACCGATCAAGACAAAGAACTGATTAGCTGTACAAGAAAATATATGGGGGGTGTCTGACACTTAACAAACATAAAGCCTTCTCTTTCACCTATGGATTGAATATTCATCAAATGGCACTTACTACCATGAATATTTTTCTCGTTTAATATTGCGGAGTTGTCCAACATAAGTCTTAGACGATTTATGAAATAATGTTTGTAAACTTCTTCAAATTGCTGTTTTATTGCAATAAAATAATACATACAAATTGTGATAAAAGAAATGAGTTGTTAATGATATTGTGTTGTACATTAAAAACAGTTTCAAGCCACACACCTAAAAAAAAAAAGCCTGGAGGCGCGCTGTCCTTTGGAGGGAAAAGGGGGGCAAGCTATGATCTTTTAAGTTTAAAAAAGTTGCAGCAAATACAGGATTCCTTCGATTAAAAAATAATTACAATTCCTTTGATTATAATATAATAATAATATAAAAGCAGCAATCACAACATGATTTGCTCTTGCAAATACATTTATATACATGTACCTGTGTAGATGCCATCACAATTCAACATGAATTCCCTTTTATAAACATTACCAGGAATGTGAACTTCGGTTTGGTCCAAAGGCACATTAGATTTACATGTATTAGTATTGATTTCTGGTACTTCAGTTGAAAGTATGATCACAAAAACTTTCAGGTAATCAACATAAGACGATTGTAATATTCTTGTCCATCTATTGAAATATGTGAACATTTGAATGACATATTACATAATATGAAAATGGCAATTTCTATGGGCAATAAAAGGGGTGTTAAAGTTGCTCTTGAGTTGATTTCTCCCGAGTTGATTTCTCCAAATTATTTGTGATCATGTTTTCAGTACTAAAACAGTGAATTATATCATCTTAGATCAGGCTTAAGTACAAAGGCATGCATGATACTTTTGATTTTGTTTTGGTGACATCCCTTCAAAGTGCAGCAATGTTTAAATTTGTAATCATATAGTTTGTATTTCAGAAAAAGAAAAAATATATATATATATACAAATACCTATGAAACATGTGAAAAATATTTTCTTACAAATAACATAACAATTTATGCAAGACAAATTACTATTACAATATCATTAGAAATAACAAACATTTTAATTCATGAACATCATTTAAATCACTGTCTACTGGAACCAACTAGTGGTCCCTGTGTTAAGCGCATGGGAGGCAGTGAATAAGTGAAATTCAGTTACTGCATAGGTTTGAAAGAATGTACTGACTATAATGTAAAGGGTAGATGTGTATTTAATGTTTGATGTGCTATCCCAGGAATGTTACCATGTATATGAAGGCCCCAACAATGGGGAACTTTGATTAAGCTACACAAACATTATACTTTCACATATCATTGGAACAATGTAGTCCTCAATAAAGAAGCATAATTCGCATCTCATGAAGTACAAAATAGCTCATCGGCGAGACGAATTTGACCAACCTTCCTTAGAACATCCTTCAGGGCTTTACACTCTGTGGCCTTGGTTTGCGTATCTCTCCAGTCTCGGAGCATTGACAGTGTACCCATGTATGATATATGTGCATTCTTCATGTTTGTGTTGACATAGCGTTCAATATCTGCTGGTTCAAAGCCGAGACCCTTCCCGAGTTTATATATCTCTTCATGCTTCACAATTTTCCGAGCAATGGTGATCAGATTTTCGTCAAAGTCTTCCTGTCTACCTGAAACGTTCCTTAAAAAAATCATATTAACAAAAACATTTGAGTATATTACATGTACTGACAACAGGGAAACCAATGGCTACACAGCTAAACGTGATATATGTAAAGCGCTTAGAGATGTGTTTTTTTGTAATAACTATTAGCACCATAATAATCCTAATTATTATTGTTACATTTTTTTTCCCCATGTCCTCTCCATTCAAAATGTTAGGATTTTGATTTTGATGTGATTTCACATGCACCATTAGCAACAGTGATTATTCAATCAATATACTTGCGAGTGAGCCTCAGAATGGTTTTAATTTATAGCATACTGACAGCATTCAATTATCTCTATTGGGCTTTAATCATAAGATATGTGAGCCCTCTTTCTCCCTTCTCTTCAGCTATCTATATTTTGTTTTTAACTAACATTGCAATCAAGCAAAATATTATTTAAAGAAATAATGTCCAAACTCTAATCATGCAGTTTTTGCAGCAATTTGATTACCATTTACCTTACAATATTTTCTATATGTAATATAGCTGGGTTTTTTTCTTCAAAATTTGTTGGGGTAGGGGGCCAGAGTGCCCCTTGCCCTCCCTCCCTCCTCCAAAGACATTGGTGATTTCAGGTTTACACCTGCACATGTTCTGATCTCAGTCTGAGTCTACTAACCATGCTGATAGTATTGCTGGTGAAAGAAATTATCATAACTTACTCCAGAATTTCCTCTTTACTTTGATGTGATGGTTGCTGTGGCTGTGAACTTGATGCACCCTGCAATGGTTCTACAAAAAAAATCAAATCAGGAAAAGAGTACCAGTCAAATAACGAATTGCTGCATAAGTAGTAGTAGTAGTATTGGTAGTAGGAATAACATTTTGTTTTGTTAATGATCTCTCTCTCTCTCTTTCTCCTGTCATTATTGTTATCATCCTTTGTGTTTAGAAATGTGGTATGAAGCACTTCATAAATGTTGCATGATATCATTTTTTTGATTAAATATATGTCTTGATGGCATGTACAGTTTATGATGCAAGATGATCTTAGTCATCTCCAAATTGAACTAGACTGTACAGACATAGATTGACAATGTCAGTCTCATGAACACTCAGCTGTCAGACTGCCTGCCTGACCAAATTTCTGGGCCCAGTCTTATAAAGAGATGCAATTAATCACCACTTTTTTGCAATTGATCAATTGCAACTCTTTACAAGATGGAGCCTAGGTCTCAAGTAACTTTCAGAAGAGTTGTGCAACATGTGCCCCGGCTACGATTCCCCCGAGATCAATTTTCTACACTAATCAAAATCTAAACTCCAACTCTAGATCAAATACCACAGTTAACCCAAACCCCAACTCTACGGCCTACACCTATTACCTAAAACCAATGTTTAATACTTTACATTCATATTTCAGAAGAAAAAATATATATGTATGTATAAAAAAAAACCTATGAAACATCGTGTTAAAAATATTTTCCTACAAATAATACATTACATAAAGATTTATGCAAAACAAAGTATCATTAGTTTAGCAATAGAAATAACAAACATTTCAATTCATGAACAGCATTTAAATCATCGTTTACTGGAACCAAGTGGTCCCTGGTATAGGAATGAGTGAATTTCAGTGAAATTCAGTAGTCAATGAGTTACTGCATAGGCTTGAAAGAATGTACTGAATATAATGTAAAGGGTAGATATTTAAATTTTGATGTGCTATCCTAGAAATGGTACTACATGTATGTATATGTACTGGTCAACAACCCCCTGGATAACCACCCCTAGGATAACCACCCTCTAGGACTACCCCCAGACAACTACCCCCTAGTACAACTACACCCCGGACGACGTAGTTGTCATAGGGGGTGGTTGTCCTAGAGGGTGGTTATCCTAGGGGTGGTTATCCTAGGGGTGATTATCGGGGGGGGGGGGGGTGGATGTCCAGGGGGTAGGTGTCTGGATACGCTGTCATATATATATCATTGGAACAAAGCAATCTTCAAAAGAGAAGAATTTTAATTCGCATCTCAATACGTACCGAATAGGATATCAGCGAGACGGATTTGACCAGCTTTCTTTAGAACATCCTTCAGGGCTTCACACTCCGTAGCCTCAGTTTGCCTATCTCTCCAGTCTCGGAGCATTGACAGTGTACCCATGTATGATATATGTGCATTCTTCATGTTTGTGCTGACATAACGTTCAATATCTTCTGGTTCAAAGCCAAGAGCCTTCCCAAGATGATCTAGATCTTCATGCTTGAAAACTTTTCGAGCAACAGTGGTCAGTTTTTCGTCAAGGTCTTCCTGTCTACCTGAATCGATCCTTAAATAAATCATATTTAAAAAAAAATTATGTTAGTATGTTTCTAATTACGGCACATGTACTGACTAAAAGGGGGGGGGGGGTGTTCAGGAAAAAAATGTAGCCAATGGCTTGATGAAAAAATCTTTCCCAGACCCTAATTTGCTTGGCGGGATATACACTGTAGTGCAACTGACATGGAATACTCACCAGGGAGTGGAGATGGTGCACATTGTGCGTAAATAAACTCAATGACAGGATTACTATCTGTAAATCGCTTAGAGATGGTTTTTGTATTAATTATAAGCACTATGTTTAAATTATTAATATTGTTACATTTTTGTTCCCCCATATACATGTACTATTAATCTGAATTGTTAGGATTTCAATTTGTTGTTAATTGCAAACTTATATTGCAACCAAGCAAAAATAAATTGAAGGAAATAATGTCCAAACTCTAATCATGCAGTTTTCACAGCAATTCGATTATCATTTACCTAACAATAATTTGTATATGTAATATAGACGGTTAATTTTTTCTTCAAATTTATTGGGGGGGGGGACTGCCTCTTGCCCCTCCCTCCTCCAAAGACATTAGTGATTTCAGTCTGAGTCTACTAACCATGCTGATAGTATTACAGGTGAAAGAATTTATCATAACTTACTCTTGAGTTCCCTCTGTACCTCCATGTGATGTTTGCTGTGGCTGACGTGAACTTGATGCACCCTGCGATGGTTCTATAATTTTTCAAATAAGGAAAAGAGTACCAGTCAAATAACGAATTGCTGTATAAAGAGTAGTAGTAGTAGTAAGAGTAGTATCAAAACAAGTAGTAGTAGAAGTAGTAATAGTAGTAGGAGTTAAAGTTTGTTTTGTTAAGGATGTCTCTCTCCTGCCATTGTTGTTATCATCCTATGCACTTAAAAATGTGGTATGAAGCACTTCAAATGTTGTATGTTATCATAACGATTAAATATGTCTCATCAACAAGCAACAACCTTGTCAGTCTTGTGAATTGCTGAGGACGTACAAGAACAGTTATAAAACTAAAAGTGCAATCGTATATTAGGATGATATGCATGCATTGATGCCCATGTCTATGTCTCAAATGAAAGAGCATCTCGTGGACACTCTAGAGCAATTTGTTAGAAGTCTGTAGCATCTTGCTAAGTGGAGATAGAAAGGCAGAAAGAATGGCATGGAAATGCGCCAGAAAATAGCGCATGAACTGTCACCCATGAGTGATTTCAGAAAAAAATGTTCAGCGACCTTGATGGGATGCCAGAGACTATGTCACTTAAGTTTGAAAGGCACTGGGATAAAGGAAGTGACCTAGCTAGGCCCAGGGGGGGGGGGGGGGGGGTGTTCTCAGATTTGGTTTGGATGGAGGTGTGCTGCTCAAGCCTCAAAACCCCTACCCATCTTTAAGGGTCATCTGGGGGGGGGGGGGATTTTTGCTGTGCTGTGGCCCAAACAGCCTTTCATACAAACATAATCATGCAGGCTATAAAATGGGCTCTAAAATCCCTTCCCCCCCCCCCCCTCCCTGCTAGACAGATTTTCAGAATCTGGCTTTGAGATGCCTTGCGTTTTTGGCAACCCAGAATAAGCTTGCAAGGAAAAAAGGTCCCTGCAATCATTATAAACCCAGTAATTGCCAGGTACCAATTTACACGTGGATGGGGATTGGCAAATGTGGAGTGTTTTGCAAAAAGATGTAAGTGCCAGGGTGAGATTGGAATCCTCAACTCTTGGATAGAGAGTCAGGTGAATGGACCACTACACCCCAACACTAACACCTCCATAAACAAGAGAGTAAAGTCATGAAACTCACCTGAAACTGAGCGGTACTCCTCTTCTCTTTTCTTCCTGATGTTCACATCAATACTCCTACTCAATCTTCCTTCGAGTGCTTCATCGTGAATGTTTGCTCCAGTCAAGCTCCTCAGTTTCGGCGAGACGAAAGATATATCGCAACAGAACACAGGAATAACTCTGCCTCCTAAGCCCTTGTCTGTGAGAGACTGGAAGGCCATCTCAATCGTCATGGTGTGATTTACATTTTCATTCTCACCATCCTCTTTCGTGATCAGATAAACCACATGTGAACTGTTGGAGACGTCCTTCTCAATACTTTTTAATACCGGTTCACCAAGTTTACTTTCAAAAGGAGTTGTCATCTTCCATCCATTCTTTTGAATGAGTTTCTTCATCTTCAGAAAATCTGGCGCTTTCTTAGATGACGAAAGTAGATAAATGTCATAGAACTCTTTTGGGGGGAGGGGAGTACTCCTTGAAGGACTGACGGTCTCCATTTCCTCAGTTCTGCTAGGTATATCCATAGGACCTAAAATGAAGTAGAAAAGAAAGAAAGATAAATGTATGTATCAAGGTCACAGGTTCAAGCCTGCAGCACAGCACTGCACTTATTTCCCTGAGCAAGGCATTTTATCTGGATTGCTCCTCTCCACCCAGGTGTGTTAAATGGCCGGTACCCCGTAGGATGAAAACTTCATTGTGGTTGGATTAGCAAGTGATTGTCTGTCAAGAATGCTCCCCAGGGAGTGAAGAATATGCACAGTGTAAGTGTAATATGCAAAATATAAATTGAGTGTACCACTCGTGGCTACTTGATAAAGATAGTAATGTCACTGGAAGTTTTATCTGATTGATCAGCCATTTCATGGACTTCTTAATAGTTTCCTCCCATATGAGATTTATATAAGGTGCTGAATCCACCTGAAATCAAATACTGAAGACGCACTTGTGAAATGAAAACAAACCCCAAAATGAAATCCCATAAAAACAAAGGAACCGAAGTATGACAGAACTTACAAAAATGTACAGAAATGACTATTAATTATATGCTGAATCATGTGAGATAATAAGAGATTCGCAGTTAGCTTATTCAGAAGGCCAAGCTTGTGCAAAACCATCTGCATTTACACTCATTACTAAGATCTAGCTCATTAGGCCTGTCCTCATCAGCTCAAGTTTGCCAAATAGCCTGCTATTTCTGATCCGGGATATTAGCTCGAAGTTACAAATTGCGGCTTCATTAGCTCCAAACTTAAGCTCAAGAAATTTGCTCAGTGTTCGCACATTCGAGCTGGTGAAGACGCACTGGACAAATAGCGGGCTATTTTGCAAACTAGCCCAAGATATCTTAGGAAGATTTCCCCGACCAAATAGCCCGCTATTTGTGTCTTCACTTGCCAAATAGCCTACTATTTCGTGTTCGGGCTAACTTCCTGAATAAAAAATAGCAGGCTATTTGGCAAACTAAAGTTGGTGGAGACAGTCCTGATGATCAGGTACTTGATTGGAATGGTGGTTGGAAGGGTTAGTAAGGGAAGGTTTTGCAATAGGCCCCTGGAGTTTTTGTTTTATTGCCGATCTCATCATACACATTTTTTCAAGAAAACAAGCAGATTAGCTGAAAGTAAGTCACTATATTTTGATGTTTAAAGGTAAAGACCAGTAATGGTCATGCGATTGCATTGTGAAAGAAACGTTGTGGAATCGATCAGAAAAGGTTGATCATCTAGCATCTAGCATCTGCAAGGTTCTGGAATCATCAAAATGATAAGAAATTTGGCCCATTCTTCGTAAAGTTACAAGCACTATACACAAAAAGATGTATATGGGACTACCCTATATCTCTCACACGACCATGAGAGAAACAAATTTACCAAATATATGAATTAGTAGGCGGTTTCCCGGCAAATTTTTTATCATAATGTATTAGTCAAAACATATTCTTTCACATGATTGGTAATGAGAGCTTCCATTTCATTTTTTGAAATTGGGGCGTTTCCAATACTGGTCTTTACCTTTAAAGATAAACTCCAGTTCTGGTAAAAAAAAGAAAATTCATTCTCACAGAATCAAACGAAACTTACACTGAATGTTCAAGATTACAAATAAATGACATGTGTCAAACAATTTTGGAAGAAAATGTATACTGGCTGAGTAATGAGCATAGAAAGACGAAGAAATCAAGGTAGTACTAGCCCCGACACCATGTGTGTTGTCCCATATATAGCTTTCTGTGTACAGTGCTTGTTACTCTACCAAGACTCGGTCAAATTTATTATGATTTTGATGACTCCAGAACCTTGCAGTGAACACCAATACTTACATGCTACATGATCAACTGTTTCTGATCCTTTCCACACCTTTTCTTTTACAATGCAATCGCACTATCAGTACTAAAGTTTATCTTTAACAATGATTTTCAACATTATTTTGAAATTATATAAAAAATTATATTGCCAGGACTGGGTGAACGACATCCAGGAAGAAGTTGAAGCAGTAAGTCAAGTTAGTCAACCCAAGTTAGACAGTGTGCAGAATGTTCAAGCTGAGACGATGAGATTTCTGGTTGAACAGATGAGGATGACGTCGAGGCTTCCTTTACCAGAACCAGCAATCTTTGCAGGAGATCCATTGACTTACCCAGCATGGAAGCATGCATTTGATGTTCTCATTGAACAAAGCGGTATACAGCCTATGGATCGTTTCTTCTACTTGCAGAAGTATCTCAAAGACCAGCCCTTGGAACTTGTGAGAGGATATGCACTCATTGGAGATGAGAGAGCTTATCTAGAAGCACTGGCAGCTCTTAAGCAGAGGTATGGAGATTCTTTCATTATAGCAAATGCTTTCAGAGACAAGCTAGACAGATGGCCTAAGATTTCTTCGAAAGATGCACTTGGTCTAAGAAATCTAGCTGATTTTCTCCACCAATGTGTCACTGCAATGGATAGGATTGGAAATCTACACCACCTAAACGATGAGAGGGAAAATCAGAAGCTCTTAGCCAAATTGCCAGACTGGCTTGTGATGAGATGGTCACGTAAGGTCATCGGATGGACAGAGATGAAAGGACAGTTTCCTCCCTTTCAAGTATTTGTGAGGTTCATAGATGAAGAGGCTAAGATAGCATGTTATCCAATCACATCTCTACACCACCTGAAGCCTGTACCAGATGTTAGAACTCTCAACACCAATGTTACATCTTCCAATTCAGACAACAAGAGACAGAGGGAGAGGAGAAATATTCAACGCTCCTGCTACCTGTGTAAGAAGGATCACCTCCTAGAAGAATGCAGTGAATTTGCAGCAAAGGACATGACTGATCGTAAAAGGTACATAAGAGAGAAGGGTCTATGCTATGGATGCTTGAAGGCAGGCCACATGTCCATGAATTGTAGATGGAGAAGTACCTGTATCATTTGTCAAAGGCGACATCCATCTTGTCTCCATGAAGATAGGAAGAAACCAGAACCAAAGACGGAGACAAATGTAGAAGACAGACCCATGGAAACTCAGACGTCATGGTCTCATGCTTCATTTAGTCAGCAACCTACCGGTACTAGTAGATTGACCACCAGGAAGAGCACGATGATAGTTCCTGTTTGGTTATCTCATCCAACCATATCAGATGAACGAACGGTGTATGCATTAATAGACACTCAATCTGACACCACTTTCATGTTAGAGAAAACCAAGGATGAGATGAATCTGCAGGGAGTTCCTGTCAGTCTTCTTCTTTCAACGATGTCTGCTATGGATGAAAGAGTACCAAGTGAACGCATAGAGGGTCTGAAAATCCGATCATTTGATGGAGAACAACGGATTGCTCTCCCGACAACCTACACCAGAGGGTTTATACCAGCAAACCATGATCACATACCCACTCCAGAGATGGCATTGAGAATCCCTCACTTATCCAAGATTTCACATCATCTCATGCCCCTGCAAAGTTGTGAAGTTGGTTTATTGATTGGATACGACTGTGCAAGGGCACTCATACAAAGAGATGTCATCCCTCCTGCTGATGATAATGGTCCGTATGGTCTAAGGACGGACCTTGGATGGAGCATCCTGGGTACTGTGAAGGAAGATGAACACAAGTATGCTTATGAGGATGATCCCGTCGGTGTAAGTCATCGATTGACAGCCTGTGAGATTTCTGCTGAGCTAAGGACAGTAAACAAGGATGTGTTGTTCGCTCATAACACATCAGTAGAGGAGGAGATCACCCCTGCAAGAGTGACGAGATTGATGGAAGCTGATTTCCTTGATAGAAAGGATGAAGGAGCAGAATTATCACAAGCCGTCAATTCAAGAGATGTACTGAAGACTGTTGCAGAGGAAGTCAGGGTAAAGAATGTCAGAGAGATTAACCTGCATCATGATGATTTACCTCAAGAGCGAGCTCTTGGTGTACAAGGGTGTGTCAAATCCGATGCATTCAACTGCAGAATCACACTTCAGGACAAGCCCCTAACCAGGCGAGGGATACTTTCCACAGTCATGTCTATTTATGACCCCTTAGGACTGTTGGCACCAGTTGTGCTTATAGGGAAGCAGATTCTCCAGACATTGTGTAAGCTGACAGCAGACTGGGATGATCTGCTTCCAGATGTTCTGCGAGAAAGATGGAAGAAATGGAGAATAGACATACTGGAACTTCAATCACTCTCTATCCCTAGATGTTACAAGCCTGCTGAATTCGAGGCGGTGAAGTCGGTACAGTATCATCACTTCGCAGATGCAAGTACAACAGGGTATGGTCAATGTACTTACATGAGATTAACTGACGCCGCTGATAGAGTACATTGTAAAGACAGGCGTGATAAGAAAGCAAGTGACTACCCAACAACCAAAAGGGGTGTTACTGTGCAGGATCTTCATCTAGCAGAAATTGAAATTCTAAAGCACGATCAGAAGAAAGCCTCTGAAGATGAAATTCAGATCCTGAAATCTATCCAGAAGAACCAGAGTCTGCTTGAAAGAAAGAAAAGGTGTCAATCAAGAAAGATAGTCATCTAGAGCTTGACTACGATTCATTCATTCAAGCACTTCGTCGTTTCCCAGCTCTTCAAGCCAAGAGTGCAGCATCTCATAAAGCATCTCATAAAGAAGTGGACTCACCCACAACGTGAAGCTGAAGTCGGCGACGTTGTCATTGTGAAGGACGTGAATGCACCCAGAAACCAGTGGCCACTAGCATGTGTCATCAGAGTCTTTCCATCTGAAGATGGACACATTCGCAAAGTGAAACTTGCTGTGGGGGACTCCAGAGTAGGTAATAGTGGTAAGCGTAAGAACCCTCTTCAAGAATTGGAGCGTCCTATCCACAAACTGGTGCTTCTGTTACCGCGTGAAGACCAAGAGAAATTCCCGGCCAAGGAACCCGACATTT